GGGTCAACAGCCAAGAGGAGGAAAAAGAGGAGCAAGGATGCGTGGTGGAAGGCAAAACAGAGGAAGAGGCAGAAGAGGACATAGGCGCATATCTGATGACATAAGGGCCACTATTGTAGACCATGTTGTCAATCATGGCCTTACAATGGCTGAGGCGGGTCGAAGGGTGCAGCCGAATATTGGGAGATCAACCGTGTCCTCAATAGTACAAACGTTTCGAAGAGAGAACAGGTATGTCCACCAATGTACAGTGCACTGTTACTGTATATAAGCAGTATACTGTATACTTCCTACAATGCTTCATATTACAGTAGTCCACTTGTATTTCACAGCATACAGAAATATACTCTATACAGATACATACTGCACCTTACATGCACCCACCTGTATGTTTTACAGTAAAATGTGTGTTCGCATAGTTTTTGTCTATGTGAAAGTGTGCGATGCATCACTGCATTTTTCCACACATAGGACTGCAAGATTACCTCAAACCGGTGGCAGAGGACGCCTTTTCACACCTCAACAGGAGGAGGCTATTTGCACCATGGTCCGAGCAAACAATGCCATGAGACTCAGGGAAATACAAAGGACCATTATAGAAGACAACGATGTCTTTGAAAACATCCATACGGTTAGCATCTCAACTATCGACAGGGTGCTGCATAGAAACCAGATGAGTATGAAACAGCTGTACCGTGTACCATTCCAAAGGAATGAGGACAGAGTTAAGGAGCTACGGTACCAGTATGTACAGGTAAAACATATATCTATGTAACTACTTTACAGCAACATTTTATAGTGTTACATAGTACAGTAAGCATAAACTGCACACATTTCCATTGCTGTGGAAGGAACATGCAATATATGTACATTTTATGTCACTCTTCCTTACCAAAACAAATTCAACTGTGTGTTCTGGGATATAGCGTATAATGGAGTTGGAATCAAGTGAACCCTCTCACAACTTTGTATACGTGGATGAGGCTGGCTTCAACCTGACCAAATGCAGAAGGCGGGGTCGGAATATCATCGGTCACAGAGCTACTGTGGATTTGCCAGGCCAACGGGGAGGAAATATCACCATGTGTGCTGCTATTTCGGAGCATGGTGTCCTAACCCATATCCCCCTTTTAGGGCCATACAACACTCAGCATCTACTCAACTTTTTAGAGACTCTCTACAGGGCTCTCATCCCTGATGATGAGAGGGGTCTGTTTAGAGAGGATTTGCCAAAGTATGTGGTCATTTGTGATAATGTGAGTTTCCATCGATCAAACATCATAAGGCAATGGTTTGTGACCCACCCGAGGATGCTCATAGAATTCCTCCCACCTTATTCACCATTCCTTAACCCAATTGAGGAGTTCTTTTCAGCATGGAGGTGGAAGGTGTACGACCGTCAGCCACACACACAGATGACCCTCCTGGCTGCAATGGATGCAGCATGTGAGGACACCACAGTAGACGCCTGCAGAGGATGGATAAGGCATTCCAAAAGATTCTTTCCACGTTGCATTGGAAGGGAAAATATCCGGTGTGATGTGGATGAGAATATGTGGGCTGACAGACAGGAACGTCTGGATGTGTAGAGACAGCACTAGAACAGTGCTGTGGGCAAAGTTGTGCCTTAGGGGTGGTTTCCTGTGTTTCTTTCTAATTTAGTTTTTTTTCCTTTGTGCCCCTTGGGTTGTCCAGTCTCTTTCAATCAATAACCCACATACAGTAATATGTAAATAGTACTGTTGAAATTGATATATGCCATAGAAGTGCAGCCTTGTGCATTTTCAATACAGTAACTGTCATCCAAACTGTAGCCTAAGTTTACATCAGGTAATACTGTCAAAGTACACAGTTCCATTGACATGCCTAAACATTTTGACAACCTTGTTTGTGAACAATGACTCAATGACTTATCATTCTGATGACACTGACATGATCATTGGCATGAATATTTACTTTTGAGAGATGTACTAAGGATTTTTAGTGACTGACTAGCTTTAGAAACATATCTATTGTATATTGCAGTTTGTACAAATTGTTCTGAGAAATGCACTTATTATTTTGCACATGTTAGGGATGATGTGAAAAATGCACCAAAGCGACTGAGAAAAACTGTAATTTAATAAAGTCCACATGTTCGCTAAACACGCTGCGCCTTGGTCCGCTTCCTTAGACGATCGTGACAGAAAAACCCACCACAAAAGGACCAAGCAGCGTATACAGGAACACCCGCAGGAGAGAACGCTGGTGGATGTCCTCCTCGGCTGGGGACATATTACGCAGGAGGAGGCCGTCCGGTACCGGAGGGCGATGAAGGGGGAGAACCTGGCAGGAGAGGAGCAACGGCGTCAGCAGGGCCATCGTCGGAAGGACGAGAGGCAACCCCAAAAAGTTTTTGGGGGGGGGCACATGGCTTGGGCGGCTGGGCAGCAGGCGGCTGCTACAGGACGTTTTGGAGAGGTGGTCACCGGGGTGTTGGGAGGCAGAAGGCAGGTTGGCGAGGCCTGGAGGTAGAGCGGAACCAACTTCCCGTACTCAGGCATGGCAGCGTGGGACGGGGCAGGTTCCGCGGTATGCGGAGCAGCGTACTGTGCCACGAGTGGTCCGGCACAGTCCTGTACGTCCGGTGCAAGCACCCCGCACGTGTCGTGCGAAGGGGGGGATGCAGCCAGGACGGAGTGTGCCGGATCTACGCTCGAGGTCTCCAGTGCCTCTCCGCGGTCCCGGATATCCTGCTCCCGTATCGCGTGCTGTCATGTCGGTACGGGTTCACAGCCCTGTACGTCCTGTGCGGATGCCTCACGCAGAGTGTGTGAGGGTAGGCATCCAGCCAGGACGGGTGGTGGCCGCTCTTCGCTCCAGGTCTCCATCCGTCTCCACAGTCCGGTGAGGCCTGTTCCAGCTCCACGCACGAAGCCTACGGTGTGCGTCGCCAGCCTGTTCAGCCTGTTCCTGCTCCACGCACGAAGTCTACGTTGTGCGTCGCCAGCCCTGTTCCCTTTGCCTGCTCCGCCAGCCCTGTTCAGCCTGTTCCCTGCTCCACGCACGAGGCCTACGGTGTGCGTCGCCAGCCCTGTAGCCTGTTCTGCTCCACGTAAGAAGCCTACGGTGTGCGTCGCCAGCCAGCCCAGCCTGTTCTGCTACTCGCACCAGACAAGGGTGCGAGTCGTCAGCCGGATCCAGCCTGTTCCTGCTACTCGCACCAAGCCAAGGGTGCGAGTCGTCAGCCTGGTCCAGCCCGTTCCTGCTACTCGCACCAAGCCAAGGGTGCGAGTCGTCAGCCTGGTGAGGGTAGTTCCGAATCCACGCATCAAGTCTAGGGTGCGTATCGTCGGCCAGGTCCGGTCCGTTCCTGCCTCACGCGCCAAGCCAGGTGTGTGCGTCGTCAGTCCAAATCCTACCAGCTGGGTTAGATCGGACTGGGGGCGCTACGGGGGGATTGAAGAGGGGTGGTGGTCAAGCCCGGAGCCGGAGCCGCCTCCGAGGAGCAACACCCACCCAGCCCTCCCCTGTTTGGGGTTTTTGAGGCGCGGTCGCAGTCCGCGCCTTTAGGGGGGGGGTACTGTCACGCTCTGGCTCCGGGACTTTGTTTGTTGAGCCAGGGTGTGTTCGTTTTGTTGTGTATTGGGTTATGTTTCCTTGTTTGGTCAATGACTCCCAATCGGAGGTAACGAGTGTCAGCTGTCGGCTCGTTATCTCTGATTGGGAGCCATATTTAAACTGTGTGTGTTCACCTTGTGGTTGTGGGTTTTTGTTCCATGTTCAGTCATTGTCACTGTGGACTTCACTATCGTCATTTGTTTCGTTGTTTTCGTGGTTGCTTTAATTTAATAAAGTCAACATGTTCGCTAAACACGCTGCGCCTTGGTCCGCTTCCTTAGACGATCGTGACAGAATGTAAAGTGTTAGTTCAACCAACAATCAACCAGTTGTCTAAATTGCTCAAAGGTGCATCTCATGAAGAATGAATTGGCAAGCATATATAGACAGACCACAACACAGAGTTGCAATTTTCCAATAATGGATGGACCAGGAAACGAACAGGGTCAACAGCCAAGAGGAGGAAGAAGAGGAGCAAGGATGCGTGGTGGAAGGCAAAACAGAGGAAGAGACAGAAGAGGACATAGGCGCATATCTGATGACATAAGGGCCACTATTGTAGACCATGTTGTCAATCATGGCCTTACAATGGCTGAGGCGGGTCGAAGGGTGCAGCCGAATATTGGGAGATCAACCGTGTCCTCAATAGTACAAACGTTTCGAAGAGAGAACAGGTATGTCCACCAATGTACAGTGCACTGTTACTGTATATAAGCAGTATACTGTATACTTCCTACAATGCTTCATATTACAGTAGTCCACTTGTATTTCACAGCATACAGAAATATACTCTATACAGATACATACTGCACCTTACATGCACCCACCTGTATGTTTTACAGTAAAATGTGTGTTCGTATAGTTTTTGTCTATGTGAAAGTGTGCGATGCATCACTGCATTTTTCCACACATAGGACTGCAAGATTACCTCAAACCGGTGGCAGAGGACGCCTTTTCACACCTCAACAGGAGGAGGCTATTTGCACCATGGTCCGAGCAAACAATGCCATGAGACTCAGGGAAATACAAAGGACCATTATAGAAGACAACGATGTCTTTGAAAACATCCATACGGTTAGCATCTCAAGTTCTCAACCATCGACAGGGTGCTGCATAGAAACCAGATGAGTATGAAACAGCTGTACCGTGTACCATTCCAAAGGAATGAGGACAGAGTTAAGGAGCTACGGTACCAGTATGTACAGGTAAAACATATATCTATGTAACTACTTTACAGCAACATTTTATAGTGTTACATAGTACAGTAAGCATAAACTGCACACATTTCCATTGCTGTGGAAGCAACATGCAATATATGTACATTTTATGTCACTCTTCCTTACCAAAACAAATTCAACTGTGTGTTCTGGGATATAGCGTATAATGGAGTTGGAATCAAGTGAACCCTCTCACAACTTTGTATACGTGGATGAGGCTGGCTTCAACCTGACCAAATGCAGAAGGCGGGGTCGGAATATCATCGGTCACAGAGCTACTGTGGATTTGCCAGGCCAACGGGGAGGAAATATCACCATGTGTGCTGCTATTTCGGAGCATGGTGTCCTAACCCATATCCCCCTTTTAGGGCCATACAACACCCAGCATCTACTCAACTTTTTAGAGACTCTCTACAGGGCTCTCATCCCTGATGATGAGAGGGGTCTGTTTAGAGAGGATTTGCCAAAGTATGTGGTCATTTGTGATAATGTGAGTTTCCATCGATCAAACATCATAAGGCAATGGTTTGTGACCCACCCGAGGATGCTCATAGAATTCCTCCCACCTTATTCACCATTCCTTAACCCAATTGAGGAGTTATTTTCAGCATGGAGGTGGAAGGTGTACGATCGTCAGTCACACACACAGATGACCCTGCTGGCTGCAATGGATGCAGCATGTGAGGACACCACAGTAGACGCCTGCAGAGGATGGATAAGGCATTCCAAAAGATTCTTTCCACGTTGCATTGGAAGGGAAAATATCCGGTGTGATGTGGATGAGAATATGTGGGCTGACAGACAGGAACGTCTGGATGTGTAGAGACAGCACTAGAACAGTGCTGTGGGCAAAGTTGTGCCTTAGGGGTGGTTTCCTGTGTTTCTTTCTAATTTAGTTTTTTTTCCTTTGTGCCCCTTGGGTTGTCCAGTCTCTTTCAATCAATAACCCACATACAGTAATATGTAAATAGTACTGTTGAAATTGATATATGCCATAGAAGTGCAGCCTTGTGCATTTTCAATACAGTAACTGTCATCCAAACTGTAGCCTAAGTTTACATCAGGTAATACTGTCAAAGTACACAGTTCCATTGACAACATGCCTAAACATTTTGACAACCTTGTTCGTGAACAATGACTCAATGACTTATCATTCTGATGACACTGACATGATCATTGGCATGAATATTTACTTTTGAGAGATGTACTAAGGATTTTTAGTGACTGACTAGCTTTAGAAACATATCCATTGTATATTGCAGTTTGTACAAATTGTTCTGAGAAATGCACTTATTATTTTGCACATGTTAGGGATGATGTGAAAAATGCACCAAAGCGACTGAGAAAAACTGTAACTTCACGCACTAATCAAAAGAACATCCCTGGTCATCACTACTGCCTCAGATCTGGCAGACTCACTAAACACAAATGCTTTGTAAGTAAATTATGTCTGAGTGTGTGAGTGTGCCGCTGGCTATCCGTCAAAAAAATTATAAACACAATTGTAAGATTAATATAGATAGATAGATAGATAGATAGATAGATGGATAGATGGATAGATGGATAGATGGATAGATGGATAGATGGATAGATAGATAGATGGATGGATGGATGGATGGATTGACTTTATTGCACAAAACACTTTGCTTTTCTCATCTCCCTTCCCTGGCGTGTGTAAATATTTTAATGTAAAGTCACTTCCCACTGGGCAAAAACTGGTTGAATCAATGTTGTCTCCACGTCATTTCAACAAACAAATTATAATAATAATAATAAATTATATGTTATGACGTTGAATCAACGTGGAAAACTGATTGGATTTGCAAAAAATCATCAACGTAAGGACATTTCGTCTTTTTTCCACCCAACTTTTAACCTAAATCTAATGACAAAGTGAAATGTTTTGTTGATTTCACATTGAATTCAGGTTAGTTGAAAACTCAACCAAATGTAAATCAAAACTAGATGTTGAACTGATGCCTGTGCCCAGTGGGTTCCTTGCATTTATACCTCTGCTAAAAACAAACAAAAAAAATGATTCCATTGAGCTTCTATTTTTATTTGTATTACTTCATAATTTTTCTATTTTCATTGTTGTCGCATTGTTGAGAGGTGAACTTGCAAGTGAGTATTTCATTGTGCTGTGTACACCATGTGTTCTGGTGCATATGACAAATATACTTAACTTGAACTTGATGACTCATGCACTAAAGCCACATACTGTAAGCCTCTGAAGTAGTGCACACCATAGAGCTTAGGGTGTCATTTTAGATTTCCGCCTGTGACTACATCACTTACCAGTTTCTATAGTGACCAGTTGGCTCTGGGAGCTGTTGCACTTCATGTTGGTTGCTATGACGCTGGCTGTGTAGGTCTTGCCGCAGGTTAGGCCCTGTATGAGACAGTTAGGGCCCGGGGAGTGGCAGGATCGCACCGTGCCGTCTGCGTGCTGTGCCATGGCAATGTAGAACCCTGCGCCCTTGCTCACCGTCCAGTTCATAAGGGCAGAGTTGGGGCTGCAGTCCACAGAGGCTGACACGTTGGTAGGGGTACAGGGGACTGGGGAAGGGAGGAGGAGAGAGGTTTGAAGTTACAACAAGTAAGTGTATATGATGACATTATTTCTCAGCTATGATATGGAAGCTCCAGTCCTCCCTATAGGTGGCTCAACTAGCCGCAGATCCAAATCACCACCAGACTTGACAGTCTCTTCTATTCTGTACACTATTACATAACAAGAAGGCCCATTCCACCAACAGTCCACAGTCCATCATCCAGCACTCACCAGTCTGAGCAGCCTCTCCCAGCTCCTTCTCTGTGGTACAGTCATCGTCTGAGGCAGTGATCCAGACACTCAGACTCTCTCCACAGGCCACACCAGGTATGGCACAGCTGTTGGTGAAGGAGCTGCAGTTGTAGCTGTCTCCGTTGTTCCCCTGAGCCTCCACTGTGTAGGACAGAGCCCCTGCTGCCTTGTCCCAGGTAGTGATCAACACATCAGACCAACACCCCACTGACGTCTCTATGTTCTGGGGGACACAAGGGGCTGGGGAGGAGAGGGAGGGAGAGAGGGAGGAGGGTTAGAGAATTCACACATGTTGTACACACACACAGACAGACAAGTACACAGACATACACACACTTTACCTTGCATTACCACAGTTAGCCACTAGGTAGAGAACTCTCTCTTTCTGTCCCTCCCCCTACCCCCACCACACCTTCCCTACACCCCTTCCCATCACTCACAGGTCCGGACGTGCTTCGGGGAGCTGGTTTCGCTGTTGCAATTGCTGACGGCGTAAACAGTGTACTGGTAGGTGTGTCCGCAGCCCGTGTTGGTGAAAAAGCACTCTGTGTCCTTGGTGTGACACTCCACCACCTGTCCGTCCGAGGCCAACGACGTAGCTATGTAGTAGTTGGTGTTATTGGTGGGAGCCCAGGAGAAGATGATCACATTACTAGAACACTCATGGTACGTCGCCAGCTGGGAGGGAGCGCAGGGCACTGGTGGGGGAGAGAGAGAGAGGGTTAGGGGTTAGGTTGGGACAAAGGTACAGAGTAAGGGGTTAGGGGTTAGGGGTTAGGGCACATGGAAAAGGGCAGTCAACTGGAAATAGGACTGGAGAAATAGGGGGAAGTATAAAGTGCCCTAAAAAAAGGGAAACAAACAACTGAACTTGCTTTAAAGTGGGCAGTGAATGTGGAACTGTGAGATATGTAACATCGTATGAAGTAGACCCAATTGGATGGAGGTTCAACTCTAATGTTCCCAAGTCAACCAGAACAATAACGAAGAACAATATTGAAACCTGAATCTCTTTATCTTTGTCTCTCCTTGTCAACGCAGGTACAGTAGGTAACGTATTCCTTTGTGAGTTTTCACTCTATACCTCACACATGTCTAGGTGTGTGCCTCAGTGTGTGTGTGTGTGTGTGTGTGTGTGTGTGTGTGTGTGTGTGTGTGTGTGTGTGTGTGTGTGCGCGCGCGCGTGTGTGTGTGTGTGTGTGTGTGTGTGTGTGTGTGTGTGTGTGTGTGTGTGTGTGTGTGTGTGAACGTGAGAGGAACTGGAACAGATAGCAGATGAAATAGAAGAAAAAGAGCTAGCCAGAGAGAGGGGATAGAAAGGTAGTAGAGGTATCCTGTACATCCCCATGTCCCTCACCTGTCTCAAAGTATGTGGATGTGTTGGAGGTGCTCTGGCAGTCGAATGAGATGGCAGTGACCTGGATCAGGTATCTCTCTCCACAGTTCAACATGGTGATCTGACAGGTGTTTGAGGCAGAGGTGCAGGACAGGGCAGTCCCGTTCACATCTATAGCATCCGCCCTGGACATTCACAGTTTGGTCATTGAGTCATTTAGCAGATGTACAGAACAGATGTGTGTTATTCAGAGACACTTTCAATGAGAGGGGACACAGGAGTTTTACCCTGACCATGTGACCTGACCGGGAAAAACACCAGACCCTGGATAAGTGATCAGGAATTGGTCCTAAGATAAAGGCATTCAACTGAGGAAGATGTAGCAATCACATAGAACAGCACAGTCAATCCAGGTAAATAAGAGACAGTAGTTACCTGTAGAAGTTGGCTCCAAACACCTGTCCCCATGTCACTGTCACCACCCCACTAGAACAGCTGTAGTCCATTGAGATGGACATGACCCTGTTGATGGCTAAAAGCAAGGACAAATACGGATTATGCCATGTCTGTCTGTCTGTCTGTTTGCATGTGTGCGTGTGCAGTCTGTCTGTCTGTGTGCATGTGTAGCCTACAGTACATGTGTTCACGCATCTTTATCTGTCCACAGTTTCGTCTCTCTCTGACCGTCATCTTTATCTGTCCATGGTTTCGTCTCTCTCTGACCATCATCTTTATCTGTCCACAGTTTCGTCTCTCTCTGACCGTCATCTTTATCTGTCCACAGTTTCGTCTCTCTCTGACCATCATCTTTATCTGTCCATGGTTTCGTCTCTCTCTGACCATCATCTTTATCTGTCCACAGTTTCATCTCTCTCTGACCGTCATCTTTATCTGTCCACGGTTTCGTCTCTCTCTGACCATCATCTTTATCTGTCCACAGTTTCGTCTCTATCTGACCATCATCTTTATCTGTCCACAGTTTCGTCTCTCTCTGACCGTCATCTTTATCTGTCCACGGTTTCGTCTCTCTCTGACCATCATCTTTATCTGTCCACAGTTTCGTCTCTATCTGACCATCATCTTTATCTGTCCACAGTTTCGTCTCTCTCTGACCGTCATCTTCATCTGTCCACAGTTTCATCTCTCTCTGACCATCATCTTTATCTGTCCATGGTTTCGTCTCTCTCTGACCGTCATTTAATCTTGTTTTCCCTCTTTCTTTCCAACGGTACTCACTGGATGTGGTGTGTGAGACATTAGCGGGCTCTCCAGGCTCTAGGAAGGCGTTGACTGATGACACTCCTACAATGTATGTGGAGCAGGGTTCTAGATGACTGACGTCCATGGACGTAGTGGTGGTGTTCTTCAGTACAGGCACGCTGGGTTTGTTGCTGTTTGTAATGCTGACCTGATACAACAGAACTTTGTTGACCGTCTGCCAAATTACACGGGCTGTGCTCCTTCCTGTCGCTAGTACGGCAACACCAGCTGGCGGTTGTACCACTGTAGGGATAGAGATAATGGTTTGATTAGTAGAGGCAGTACTGCAGACTCCATTATTACTAGGGATCATCTGAGTCTTTCCTGAACAATTGATGTGACCAGGAAAAACTTGGGGCCCTTGCTATAGACATGCTCAACTTGAGTTTGTCCTGTTACATCACAGGAGGCTGGTGGCACTTTATTTGGGGAGAACAGGCTTGTGGTAATGACTGGAGCAGCATCAGTGGAATGGTATCAAATACATAAAATACATGGTTTCCATGGTTTCCAGGTGTTTGATACCATTCCATTTGCACCGTTCCGGACATTATTATGAGCCGTCCTCCCCTCAGCAGCCTCCACTGTTTTACATACTGTATCATATAGCCTGTATGATTATATTTGTCAGACTTACATGTAGTGATCGTCTTGGTCATGCTGCTGGCCCCCAGTCCTGCTTGGTTGGAAGAGTAGACATAGCAGTTATAAGACTTTGAAGGTGTGAGGCCATCCACCTGTCCACTCAGCGTAGTGAAACTGTGGTTGTATCTCTCTCCGTTACTGGACCCGTCCACAACCAATAAATACTTGTCAGCCCCAATGACGCTGGACCATTGGAATCTGATCGAGGTGCTCGACATCGCTTTGGAATAGGTGATTTGGGATGTTGCTGGAACTGAAAACAAGATAAGGAAACTGTTGATGACTGACACTCAAATAAATCAATTTAAATAGGTAAAACATTTACTAATTAACTACTGGTAATATTACATGTAGGAGAGTTACCTGTTGTCGCAATTTGCATGTTAGAGCACATCACATTATAAAACTGAAAGGCTTTCAATTGGACTTGGTAAATGCTCCCTGGCCGCAATCCTTGGATCAGCCTTTGCGTACTTGACGCAGGCAGCGTCACCACAACTGGCGCAATGCTTGTTGAGTTCACGACCCGCAAATCCAGAAAATAATTTGTGGCTCCAGAGTAACTGTTCCATTTCACGTTCAGTGTCGATGCTGAAGGAGACGTTATTGATGTGATACTACAGGCTGAATAGAGAACAGAAAAGTTGTCAGTTATGAAGGATAACATGATGTAGCAGCACAAACGAAGACATTGGCCAATAATATTTCATCAATCATTGATGAGTGCTATAGTTAGACCGTATGCTACAAATAAAGGTTAGGAATTATGAATCTAGGAGCATAGAATAGACATAATCAGCTGAAATGTTGATGATGAAATTGTGATGTTTATTCTGTATAGTTACAAAATAACCACAGTATTGAATAGCTAGTTCTCTTTTATCAAGTCACAATCACTGACCATTATTAGAATACACTACAAAAAAATGATTAAAATGTATATTTGAGAGACAAAATAAATTGTTATTGAATTAAATTAATAATACTTTTTGTTCCACATCTATAGACATTTCTAAGGGTTGATGTCTGTGCATTGCCACATTACATTACTGTTTAACCTGAAATACCAGTGTAGCACAATCTCTTCTTTATTTATAACAAATAAATAAACCTTCCAGCACAATAAAATGAATAGTTTCATTCCAAAACTCTATATATCCATTTTCAGGAATGTTGGTAAATTAACTTTTTTGTTTAAAGAACTTATGAAAGAGATTTGTGTGTTTTTCCCCATCTAATCATGGTATGGGGTTGTTCAATGACATACATGTTTATTTGTTACTAGATGGTTTTATTTCAGAGAGACACATTTTGTTGCAAAATTAGATATGTCTGCCTCTCTTAGAGAAAAAAGTAGTACTGCAAAGGTTTTACAAAGTCAAATGTGACAAATAATTACATTTTTAATAAAGAACTGTACATATGATACGTTTGTGACGTCAATATTTAAAAATATATAATAGATGATCAATACAGTAATATGAGATCTGGGCTCTGGTCAAAAGTAGTGCACTATATAGGGAATAGGGTGCCATTTGGGATGAGACCTAACTCTAACCAAACACTATAGCAAGAGGCTAGATTTATATGATGGGTTGAATTTATATGTTAGCTAGCCAGGATACGAACATTCCATTCCAGCTAAACAATGGATATATAGCGTTAATTTCTGATGAAAAAACACAAATGTGAAAAAGTTGTGGATATAGCGTTTTGGAAATAAACTCTTCAAATACTTCTAATAGGAGCCCAGCTAACTCACCTGCCAATGCATGCTGTATCTGAAAAAGCAATAAGGACAAAAGTTTATTTTTTTTATGTACAAGACAAATCACAGTATCTATCTCCATCATCCTCAAATAAAAAAATTAATAAAAAAAGAATGCATTAGAATTGACGCTTACCTGAGTCAATGACAATAAGATGAAAGGTAAATATAAAGCTCCAAGCTTTTCCATGATGACTGTCAGTTACATTTATAGGTATATGGGAGGTTGGATACAGGAGCTCATCTGGAATCTTTAACGGCAGGGCACGGGTAGATCAGCTCTGTGGGAACCAATCAGAGAACCCCAAATGAGGACAGGTGTAATCTCCTCCCTGCCTGTGGGCTTAGGTCAGTGTACAGGTATCATGATGGGAATAAGAGAAAGTGTGTGTGTGTGAGGGGGGTGCCAGGTGATGTCCACACACCCTACACCTGATCTTTGTTCTCAAGAAACGAATAGTTATGCACGCTCAAGTTTTCAATTTTTTTGTTTTATTTCTTGTTTGTTTCACAAAAAAATATATTTTGCATCTTCAAAGTGGTAGTCATGTTGTGTATATCAAATGATACAAACCCCCAAAAAATCAATTTTCATTCCAGGTTGTAAGGGAACAAAATAGGAAAAATGCCAAGGGGGGTGAATACTTTCCCAAGCCACTGTAATCCTAATTTCTGCCTAATTTCCTCCTAATTTCTGCCTAATTTCCCCCTAATGTGAGTGTTTTGTTGGAAGTTATGTTTCTGAGAATGTCTCTAAGGATGTTTTTTTAATGATATTCTCTTCCTGTTTTAAACCCATTGGCATGCAATAAAGTAATATTGCTTTCACTGTGTGTGGGACATATTGGATTACAGAAGTGACTTGAAATTCAGTGGTCATTATAAGTAAATTAATTCCTAAATGTACTGTGGAATTCCCAAATGTACATCCTGGTTTGGTGACAATAGAAATGTGTTTCCTAGAAATTTTTATACACACGTGTTAAGAGCTTTTCCGTTTGAATTTCACATTGACCTAGCAGCCACAAGTAAAGTACCCTATTTTACCTTGTGTACAGGTTGTTGTTTATTGCGTCCATTGTGTTTGCTTTACAGTCAATGGGAAGAAGCCAGTTTACTCTCCGCATTTCTTCCTTCGCATCATAATGTCAGTCAGTGGGTAACATCTTCCTCTTGTTGTAGGATTAGACCTCACCAGGGATCATGTACTGTGAGTTACAAAGACTTTGGCACCTAGAAATCCAACCAAAATATTCTTATTCTAAGTGAATGGCCTAGTTCAGAATAGATGAGAATAAACTTGTATTAAGGAATGAAGCATCACATTTATGTCTATCTCTATGGGGAGAAAGAAAGGCCAGATAGAGAATATGGGATTTTGACTTGGTTATTTCATGGTGAACTAGAGACACTAGAAGTTGTGCGGTGTTCCGTGTGTGAATATGGGAAGGGCTGAATGATGGGATTTAAAATGACTCTTTCTCCATATTTGCACATCTCATCTAACCTTGGCTGCCTGTCTTTGTCAGAAGACAATGAGGGATTACACATCTATTATGCATCCATTGTGGTTGAGATTCTAGAGTTTGAGATAAAGAGTTGCGTGTGAAAACAAATATGCCACCTTGATTCAGAGCCTGAAACTCAAACCTTACACAATGAGTGGAAATTGTTTTGATCTATGATTAAGGGCAAAGTGATGTGAACAGAGAGATACAGAGAGAGATACAGTGTGAGACAATACTCAGCTCCCTCTCCTTCAGTCACTCCTCTGTACCGGACCTACCCCTCACTGTTAGGCCTTCTGTCCCTCTGTCCCTCTGTCCCTCTGTCCATCTCTTCCACTCCCCCTGTCCATCTCCATCTACATCAGTCCATCTACCATTAGTCCATCTACCTCAGTCCATCTACCTCAGTCCATCTGCCTCAGTCCATCTACATCAGTCCATCTACCTCAGTCCATCTACCTCAGTCCATCTACCTCAGTCCATCTACATCAGTCCATCTACATCAGTCC